TCCACGGTATGATTGGACAGAAGTGTCCTCTGGGTGTCTCTGCTGCATGGTGGGATTGAACAGAAGCATACTTGCAAAATCTCTGCTGCACGGCGTGAGAGTACAGAAGCGTCCTTGAGGTGTGTCTCTGCTGCATGGTATGATTGGACAGAAGCGTCCTCGCGGTGTCCCTGCTTCAAGGTGTGATTGGACAGAAGCGTCTTTTCGATGTCCCTGCTTCACGGTGTGACTGGAAAGAAGTGTCCTCTCGATGTGTCCCTGCTTCACGGTGTGATTGGACAGAATCGTCCTCGTGGTGTGTTTCTGCTGCACCCCCAAGTTTGTAACATTTGGCCTGATATACTGAGCCAAGGAACCAACATCTACATTGGGAGTCTCAGTGGAGCTTCCAAAGACCATCACCTCAGTCTTTCCCGCAATGAACTTGAAGAAGTTCACAGCCATCCAGGTTTTATGTCCTCCAGATATGAAAACAGAGGGGTTAGAGAGTTACAGTCCTTTCTTTTTAGCGGGACATATATCTGTGTATCATCCAAGTAACAATGAAAGGAGAAGATCCCATATTTTCTAAAAAATAGAGCCAAGAGGGAGCAGGTACAGCGTGAAGAGGAGGAGGCCTAAGGCTGAGCCCTGTGGAACCCCACACAAGAGAGGAGCAGAGGAGGACATGTGGTCACCAAGGCGGACACAGAAAATACACTCGGCTAAGTAGGACCAAAACCAGCCCCCTGCTGCAGCGCGCCCCCCCCCCCCCCCCCCCATTACTTCAAACAACAAAGTAAGATATCATGATCCATGCTCAATAATCCAGGTAGAAAAATCCAAAAAAAGTTCAATCTGGTCCTCTGGACATTCAAAAAACAAAAAAACAAAAAAGACAAAAGACAAAACAAAGCAAAAAATGTAGAAACGTTTCGTCTCTCATCCGAGAGACTTCCTCAGTCAGTACAAAGTAAGATGTTATGATCCAAGGTGTCAAAAGCAGCTGATAAGTCTAAGAGCAGGAGGACAACACGGGGTTTAGCTTTAGTGCAGGACAGGTTAGTTTCAAATAAAACAGG